CAGCGTTCAGTATCGTAAAGATACCCGCTGTATGGCAGGCTTGGGGCGAGAGCCACTCCTCCTGATAAAGGAGTTGTAGGACCTTGCTCCAGATCTTGTGGAAGGTGACCTCGGACCGGCAATCCACTTTGGTGACTGTGAACTTTATCAGCTCTTGCTACTGTGCTGCTTGAAAAGCATCTTCCCACAGAACCCATTGGAAGCTGCCAGGAGGTGGCGGTAACCCTGACAGCTCTGTCACTGCTGTGTGATTTAAAGCATCCTCCTATAAACCTTCTCAGAAGTAGTTTTCCCATAGATAGAGTGTTGCACACAGCACCCTCTTCACTGCGCACGGCCCACCTTCAAGAATCGGGGACCTAATGGGGGGTGGACCCCTTACTGCACACGGCCCTTGCCTTCACTGGAACGGGCCCCTTGCTGCGCGCTGTCCACCTCCTGGCCTAGGTGACCTCATGGGGATGGACCCCATGTTTTATTGCTCACGACCCTATCACTGTCCTTAAAGATGACTTCACTCACTGCCCTACCCCCCCAACCTATACACAATAAATATTCACGCTTCTGGACATTCGGGGTCTCGCCTGACTCCGCTTATAGGTGGCGTGGCCCCTCGAGCCCAGCTGCATTTTCCTTGTACTTCTGTGTCCTGTCTCTTTATTTCTCGGATCCTGCGCCTCAGCACAGCATAAGGCTCACCCCATGACCCTGTGGGGTCCTCAGCCCTACAGCCGCGGGGCCGGGTGGGGCCAGGGTCGGCAGGCTGCGCCCCTGACCTGGCAGCCCTGCAGGCTGTGGCGCTGTGGAGCCTGTGGCGGGAGCACGTGTGTGGGTGGCCGGGCTGTGGCACTTCAGGTGCGGGGTGTGCCACTGGATCGCCTGGGACCTCAGTGGCCTCGTGGGGTTCCTGGAGCAGCACGGTGTGCCTGGTGGGCTTGGGGCCGGAGGCCCTGGGTCTGCAGGAGTTCCTGAAGGGCAGCTACTTCGCGGGAGGTGCGTCCTGTTTCAGCCGCAGCGGCGTGGAAACTCTTCTCTGAACTCAGGGTGTTCGGGTCCTTCTTGCCAAGCTCTGGCCCTTCTGTCTCCTGGAGCAGCCGTGATATGCCCACAGGTCAGCGTCCCTCCTCTCTTCCTGCCTCCCTGCCCCCGAGCTGGTGGCCCGGTGGTGCCCTGCAAAGACCTGGGCCTAGCAGCAGAGTCTGGGCGAGCTCTGCCCCGCCGGTTCCCCCTGTTGCCTCTAGGACTCAGCCCTCCTCTGAGGAGGGGGGACACTCAGCCCTGTTTTGCCCCTCCCGGCCCTGGGGGGGTGGGCTGGGCACGGAGGTGGGCAGAGGAACAGTGGGTGAGATGGAGGAGGGCAATCCTTGGTGGTGGTGGTTGGGGGCTGGTTCCGGGCCTGGGCACACACTTGTGCCTTCCGATTCCCAGAGCTCTACCTGGATGAGAGCAAGCAGCTTTATAAGGAGCTGGGCTTCAAGCGGTGAGTGAGGGCGGGCACCCAAGGGGCAGTGTGGGGTGGAGGGCCCAGGGGTGCCCACCACTTCCTGACACCTCCTGTCCCTGCTGCCCTTTGTGGTGCTGAGCCTTCCGGGGCAGGGCAGCTCTGGTGGCACTGCTGACCAGCCCTTCTGCCAGGCCTTCACTGTGGTGTAGCGAGCCCCCATACAGGTCTTGCTCTCGGTGTCCAGACCACCTGGGGGGGGCGGAGCCTGGTGCCCCATCAGGGGCCATGCCAGCTTTCTGGTGTCTGTGCCACGGGCCGCCTCCCCTGCTTGGTAGCTGCCAGCTGAGCCAGATCCCTGGGCCCACCCAGTCTGGGGCCCTATCCGTGCTCCCTGCACCCTCTGTGGACCCTTGGCCAGCAGCCACTGGGGGGGGTCCAACCTGCCAGTGGGCTGGGCTGCTGCTGATCCAGCGGCCTGTGCCATCTCTGAGCCCTGGTGAGGCGGGTGGGTAGGGTGGGGTGGGTGGGACTTAGGAGCTGGTCTCATGGCTGCTGGAGCAGGCCCCGGACCCAGGCTTCTCCGGAATCTGGCTGAGCTTGCTGGTGTCTTCGCAGGTACAGCAGCCTGAGCATCCTCCCTGCGGCCCTGGGGAAGCCCGTGCGCGATGTGTCTGCCCAGGTTTGTGCCGGCCAAGGCTGTGCCGGACGGGGGTGGTGGGAGCTCCCAGGGGCCTTCCCTCTAGGTCTGACCCACCCTCTCCTGGCAGGCCAAGGCTATTGGCATCCAGGGGAACCTGTCTGGGACCTGCTGCAGAGTGGAGGGCTGCTGGTGGTCTGCAAAGGTAGGTTAAGGGAGGGCCCAGTAGCTGCCTCAGGGAGGGCCTTGCTGCACTTGGTGGCCCAGCCCAGGCCCTCTCTCTGCCTTGTCAGCCTCATCACACCCCCTCCTCTGCAGCGGGCCAGTTCCGCATGTCTGCTGGGCTGGGCGGGGCTGCGGCAGAACAGCTCACTCATCTGGGTAGGCGGGTGGGGGGCATGGCTGGCCAGGGCTGTCCCGCTTTCCCTCCTCCGAGTAGATGGATGCAAAATGCAGGCTGCCTCCAGGGCGCCCTGATGGCCTGCCCGCCACTGCGGGTGGTGACACAGGCAGCCTCTGGGTGCCCTGACTGCCCGCCACTGTGGGTGGTGACACAGGCAGCCTCTGGGTGCCCTGACTGCCCGCCACTGCAGGTGGTGACACAGAAGTGCTGCTGCCTTTCGTCCAGAAGTCTGCAGGCGACTATGTTCCCCGGGAGCATATCTTGCAGGTCCTGGGCATGTCTGCAGAGGTGTGTGCCAGTGGCCACCTAAGGTGAGCTGGGCCTTGGGGGCACTGCCTGCCAACCCGCGCCACGCCCCCAGGTCCCCTGGGAGGAGCTCTTGGCCTGGCTGGGAGCTGAGCCACAGCCTCTTGGGTGTCATGCCAGTTGTGCCCTGGGATGTGGATGCCACTGTGACCCCACTTGCAGAGGGGGCAGGCTGAGAGGGGCAGAAGGGGAGTATGGCTGGATGGACAGGCACTGTGGGGCTGTCCTCAGAGGTGGGGGCTGCACGCAGGCAGGGGCCAAGGGGCCTGTCCTCTCCGCCTTTGGGGGCTGGGATCGTCTGAGGGACCTGTCCTCTCTGCCTTGATAGGGCTGGGATTGTCTGAGGGACATTGTCAGGCATTGCTGTGGTCCTGGTGGCCGACCTCCTATGTCCTGAATGGAGGGGAGTGACCGACAGGTTGGGCTGCCTCGTGTCCCTCCTGTCCCTGTGCCCGCAGTGTGACAAAGGGTTGTGAGGGGGGTGAAGGCCCTGGCCTCCAGGATCTGGGAGGTGTCTGCTGCCCTGGGTGAGCAGGCAGTCAGCCTGGAAGAGCTGTTCTGGTGCCGCTGGGCCGGGCTGCTGAACTTCTCCTCTGCGGACAGCAACGAGCCTTAGACCTACAGTTCCTAGGTGAGCTCTGAGCCCTGCAGCCCCCGGGGCCCCCACCTAGCTCGCAGGGCAGCTGTGAGTCCCGGGGGTCACCGTCCTGCTTTGGGAGTGTCTCTGGAGACCTTGGGCCTTCAGCTTGTGCGCCACTAGGGAGGGGATGGTGACCTCACTGCCCTGTCACTCCCTTCAAAGGCGACAGACCCCAGCCCATGTTGGAAGAGGAGCGTGGGGTCAGGGTGAGGCTCCAGCAGGGCGGGGTCAGTGCCCGTGTGGCGGGAGCCACTCAGCAGAGTGGGTTTTCAGGGCAGAGATGGGCTTGATTCCACCTGGTGGGGCCACAGATCCTGAGGACCCTCAGGTGATGGGCCAGCCCGCTGCAAGGCCCTTTCCTGATGTCAGAATCACTGCACCCGCTGGGGATGTCCTAGGAGGCCTGTGGGGCAGCGGCCCGGGAGGGTCTTCGTCCAGTTAGGTATGTCCAGCTTCCTGGCCACCTTTCCTTGGGGGTCCCAACAGGTCCAGAGCAGAGCCCCTCACCTCCCAGGTCAGACTCCCTGCTCAGGGCCCTCCCCTCCCATGGAGGCCGATGACAACTGCAGCGCTCCCGGCCACCCAGTCCAGACCTGGGGACCACTGTGGCCTCCTGCTGGCCTCCCGGCTCCCTTCCTGCCCCCAGCCCCACCCTCGAAGGGGCCATTTAAAAAAACGCATAGCAGGGATCACACCCCTTTGCGTTCAGCCCGTCCTCTGGCTTTCAGTTACACAGCTAAAATTCCCGGCTCCAGAGGCAGCTCTGTAGGTTCCCCGGTGCCCCAGCGGCGCTCCCCGCATCTGAACATGTGGTTCCTGGGGGCAGGCACTTGGGGGCACCCTGGTCACTGCTGACCCTGGACTGGACCCTGGGAAATCTGGCTGGAACCGGCTCCCTCACCCTCAGCTCCCAGCTGTCACTCTCCCCCCACCCCCGGGCAGCCGTCCTGCCCGAGGCCACTGCCACCTGTCTGCCCACCCTACCCGTCCCAGACAAGCAAGGCCTCGATTTCTTTGAAGCATTTACTTAGCTCAAGTCTGAAGCTGTGGACACTGGGAGACAGTGCGCTTTGGAGGGTGGGCAGGACACAGTGGACCGTCACTGTGGGGCTGTGGTGGGGCACTGAGCCCCGAGGGTGTCTGTGGAGGGGGCTCGGGGCCGGCACTGCACCGGACACTGCTCATCCCTGGGTGTCAGGCAGGTGGCTGCGCTGGAGGCCAGGCGCAGATGCCTGGCAGGCAGGCTTGGCACGGCCAGCTGGGCGGGGCATATGCTGGGTCCCCGCTGGCTGCACCTTCTCCACACAGAGGCCTCCGAGCAGTGGTGGGCGTGGGCTGCGCAGCGCGGCTGGGCCTTGGCTACCACACGCGGCATCGCTCCTTGGGGTGCATGGGGGTGCCCTGGGCGCAGTGGAACGTGTCTGCGAAGGCGGCCAGGTTCTGCAGCGAGCCCAGCACCCTGTGGGTGTGCGGGTGGGCAGGGGTGACTGACCAGGAGCTGCAGCGAGCCCAGCACCCTGTGGGTGTGCAGGTGGGCAGGGGTGACTGACCAGGAGCTGCAGCGA